TTTTGATTTCTGGTATTTTTGACAGAGCTCACAATGCTTTGTGTGTTGTTCGATATCCTTGTTCATGGATGGCCAATACAAGGCATTTCGGGCGCGGTTCTTCATTTTGACTCCTCCACAATATCCTTGATGTAGTTGTTGGAGCACTTCCGAGCGCTTCGCTTTGGGAACTATGATGCGGTTGGATCGCCTGACGATGCCCTCCTCGACGTGTATTTCGTCTCTGTATGGCCAGTATATGCGTGCTCCCTCAGGAAGATCCATTTTGTCACTCGGCCATCCCATCTCATGTAGTTTCTTCAGTGTCGCGGTTTCCTCATCCTTGTTGGTCTCTTTCTGGTATTCTTGTAGGCGCTGATCAGCAATGGCTATGTGCCGAATGGTGCTCAGACGTGGTTTATATACGAGTGCTTCTTCCAGCGGGTTCCGCGATAGGAAGTCCGCGATGCGTAGCTCCCTGCCAGGCTTATATGTCACCTTTATATCGTAGCGCTGAAGGGACAATCGCATCTGTTGTAGACGTAGCGGGATTTGATGAAACGGTTTTTTGAATATCTGCTCTAACGGTCGTTTCCACTAAAACATCCGAACGGCCGTACACATAGTAGTGGAACCTCTGGCAGCCAAATACAATAGCCAGGAGCTCACGCTCTATCTGTGCCCAGCGCGTTTGTGGGTCGGTGAGCGATTTGCTTGCGTAAGCTACCGGCTCACCGTCCTGCATGATCACAGCACCAACACCTTTCAAGGACGCATCGACTGACAATGTCAATGTCCTCCTTGGGTCGAAGTATCGTAGAACCGGGGCGCTCACAAGCGCCTTCTTCAAATCATCGAAAGCCTGCTGATGGCCCGGCTGCCAGTCAAATGGACAATCTTTCTTTATAAGATCCCTCAAAACGGCCGTCTTGTCTGATAGATGATCGACGAATTGTGACACATAGTTCACCATTCCGAGGAACTGCTGTAACTGCTTGATGTTCGTTGGTGCTGGGACTGTCTGTATGCTTTTTATTCGTTCCTCATCGATGGCCGTTCCTTCGGTC